CCCAAAAGATTGTAGATCATTTCTATCAGACTCATCTTAGCCATTAAAGTTAACTCCATTGGCCTAGTCAGTCGCCTGTAAGTATTTATATGCATTTCAGCTGAAGTGAGGAAGTTACTGCTCATTACACCAACCTGTTCCCTCCCAAGGTTGATTAAGCACTTTACCAAAAAGACTTTTTATAATGGGAAATATCAAACCTATGTAAAAGTAGAGTTGATAGTGAGCCACCATGTACCCCCTCATCAGTTTTGATTAATCAAGTCACAGCCAACCTTGTTTCCTCTGTGCCCTACCTAGAATCTCCATCATCTTGGATTGTGTTAAAGCGAATCCAAGATAAATCAGATATACGCCCAGATATTTTATAGAAATTATAATCACAGAGCCAGTGCTGTCACCTGAAAACTAGTCTCATAAATGTCATCTGAGCCAGAATCCAAGCAAGGGCCTATATGTTGCAGATGGTTACAGTGTCTCCTAAGCTTGTTAGAATCTTAGATTCTCCTCCATATCTTCCAGTGTGTTTGAATGCTGTCTCTCTTTAGCTGTAGTTAGTATAACTTTTTTCCTGTGCTTAAAAAAATTCAATTTTCCTTTTCTAAACTGATTAGGAGCAGAATTGTTTCAGATTTCAGATTTTGGAATATATACATATACATGACAAGGTATGTTGGGGACAAGACCCAAGTCTCAACACTCAATTCATTTATATTCTATATACACCTTGTTCACATTATAGCCTGAGGGTAATTTTTTTATTATTTAATTTTTTGCATGAAACAGAGTTCATGGGAAAGAATTTCCTAGTTGCAGCGCCATGTTGGCCCTCAAGTTTCAGATTTCTTGAATTGGGGTGCTCAGCCTATAACTTCTTTTCTCTCTGGTTGCTCTCAAGATTCCCTCTTAGTCTTTGGTTTCCAGCAGCTGAACTGAGATGTGCCTCAGTGTGCAACCTGCTTGACATTTGCTGAGTTTCTTGGAGCTCTAAGTTTGTTGTTAACAAAAATGGGGATGATCTGGCCATTATTTCTTCCTTTTTTTCCTACCCCATTCTTTCTATGCATTTCTTCTTGGACTCCAATTATTTGTATAGTCACTTTGTGATATTGCTCTACAGGTTCTAGGATTTAATTTTTATTTTTATTCCTCTGTCTTCAAGTGTATTAACCCATTCTTCCCTCTTCTCCACTCTTTTGTTAAGTCCTATCCAGTCTTTCATTTTTAGATATCGTACTTTTTACTTGTGGAATCATTATTTTAACAGCTTTTTTTTCTTTTTATCCACTTTAAGTTTTTATTTGACAGAGACAGGCACAGGCAGAGAACACGCCCACCTGCTGGTTCAAGCCTCCAGTGTCTACAATGGCTAGGGCTGGGCTGAGGTTGAAGTTGGGATCCAGGAACTCAATCCAAGTGTTCCACATAGGTGGCAGAAATCCAGTTACTTGAGCCATCACCACTGCCTTCATGGGTCTGCATTGCCAGGAAGCTGGAGTTGCGTATTAGCTGGTCTCCTCCAGTGTGGGATGCAGGCGTCATGACTGCTGGCCCAGATGCCCAGCCTCTCAATTTATTTGTGCTTGACAGTATCTGTTATCACTCATTACTACCATCATTCAATTAAGTACTTAAACTTATTTATAATATCTGCTTTAAAGTCCTGTTTTGATAATTCCAATATCTAGACTATGCCTGTTTCAGTTGACTACCTGTCCTCTTGATTATAGAATCCATTTTTTTCTGTTTTATCTCATGTCTAGCAAAGGTTTTTTTAAGATTTATTTATTCATTTGAAAAGCAGAGTAAAAGAGAAAGAGAGGGAGAGACAGAATCTTCCATCTATTGGTTCCCTCCCCAAATGGTCATAATGGCCAGAGTGGGGCCAGTCCAAAACCAGGAGCCAGGAGCTTCTTCCAAGTCTCCCAGGTGGATGCAGGGACCCAAGCACTTGGGCCATCCTCCACTGCCTTCCCAGATGCATTAGCCGGGAGCAGAATTGGAAGTGGAGGAACCGGTACTTGAACTGGCACCCATATGGCCACAGGTGCCAGCCCCCTAGCAAAATTTTATTGGATTCTGAACATTATAGGGAATACATTGCGGTGTAATTTGTGGAAGACCAAGCTTCCATAAATCCAGAATGGCTGGCTAATTATCTGTTCGAGGAAAAGGCACTCTCTTCAGAGGAATGTAACTTAATCCACTGTTCCCATAATGTATTCCTGCCTCAGTTTTGTCTTTAGCATTCAGCCAGATTCCTTTGTTCTGGGGTGGACTGTTTACCCATAAGCTGGAACCATTCTGGATAACGGACAGCTGAAGTGTTTACAGAACCTCCTGGCTTAGTGAGACTTAGACTCTGAACACTGTCCCCGCCATAGTGGCCAGTAGCTGAGCTTTCTCCTCCTATCTTTTGGCCATCCAGCTGTTGGTTTTCACTGTATCCTCTAGTCTCCCTGTACGTGTTATTCGGGAGTCAGACAGGAATTCAAGGAATATTTACATGCCAATTTAGCTGTTGGTTCCTCCTTTGTGAACTTCACTGCTTCAATTTTTTCCCACTCTAGCAACGCTGTCCCCTTTCCTCTGACATCTCAAGCAAGTTTCTGTTCATTTCCCATCCCGTGGTGGAAGACCTAGAGAAAGCTATATAAATATGGATCTTAATCTGTTCTAGGTCCCTCCTTTCCAGAGTGAAATCCCCTTGCATTTTTTCTAAATTTATTTGAAAGGTGGAGTTAGAGAGATCTTCCATTTGCTGGTTCACTCCAAAAATGGCTGTTGTGGCTGGGGCTGGGCCAGGTCAGAGCCAGGAGCTTCTTCCAGTTTTCCCACATAGATGCAGGGACCCGAGCACTTGGGCCATCTTCCACTGCTTTCCCAGGAGCATTAGCAGGGAGCTTGATTGGAAGAGGAGCAGCCAGAACTCAAATCAATGCCCATATGGGATGCAGACACTGCAGGTGGGTGGAGGCTTAACCCACTGTGCCACAGTGCCACTCCCCCTTCCATTTTTGTCTGCTTTTGGTCACTCTCCAGAATGTTCAAATGGCTTCAATGTTTTTTTTTATCCACACTCTATCATTTTTGTCTGCAGCAAGGCTGGTCTGGTACAAGCCACCCTACCATTATTGAAACTAAAACTTACCCTATCACATACTTGGTAGCTGATCATAAATACTCCATCTTGCTTTTCTTAATTAATACCAGTCCATAGCAAAATGGGAGATACTCTCCTCTCCTTTTTAATGCTTGCATACTACTCCATTATTTACAGACACCATATTTGAACCAGTCTCCTGTTGATAGACATTCCAGTGATGAAGCACTTGTGGATTTATGGTAGGTTATACAATAGCAAAAAAAAAATAAGTCCTTTGCCTTCAAAGTGACTTTTTAAAAAGGTATATGTATTTTGAAAGAGGAGGAAAGAGAGAATCTTCCCTCCGCTGGTACACTCCCCAGATGGCTGCAACGGCCAGGGTTAGGCCAGGCTGAAGCCAGGAGCTTCATTCCTGTTTCCCATGTAGATGGCAGGGGCCCAGGCGTTTAGTCCAGCTGCTGCTGCTTTTCCCAGGCCATTAGCAGGGAGCTGGAGCAGAAGTGGAGCAACAAAGATATGAACTGGTGTCCACGTGGGATGCTGGCATCACAGGTGGCAGCTTTACCTACTACGCCACGACGCCGGCCCCAAGAAATGATCTTTTAATATCATAAATAGTGTTTGTGTTCGTGATCTAATGTAACTTTAAAGTCCCCATTTTCCTGTCAATTCTTTATCAAACTTGAAGAAATCACAACCTCCATCTATATTAACCCTGCCAGATTCTCAGATCCCCTTTATGTGTTCTTCATGGACCACAGATGGTACCTTTGACTCACTTTCTCCAGAACCAAGAACAAGAACCATGAGCAAGGACCAGCAAGCGTGCACAGTTTTGGGGAGATGGCTCTGAGAACAGACATGGCCAGGGATACCTCCTTGGGGTAGATTTAAAGCCCTATAGAAAGCTGCATTTTCCCAGGCAGACACCTGTCCTTCTGAGCCTTAGCAGGGATCCCTGGAGCCACCTGTGTTGCTCGGTCCCTGCGTGTGGCTGCTAGAGCCACTCTATTGCTGAGCCATGTACACTTGTGATGTCCTTACTCACATGTCACCATCTTGAACCTTCCAGTGGAATGGGGCGGAGGTGTTGCTGGCTGCCCCGCCGTCCTCCTTCTTACCCCGGTTTCCGAGCATTCGTAGGGCCTGTGCCCTGAGGATCTAGGTGCTCCTGAAAATTCTTTCATGCACAGCGAGATTATCACTCTGAAAACACCACAGTCCGTGGTGAAAGCAGGTTGTGGTGTGATTTTGTGCCCCGGTTTTTAAGTGGCAAAGTGACGGATGTTGTAATGAGTACACAGATCATAGAATTTGACCAGAGTCTCACTCCAGTCCTCTAACTGGCTTTGTGGCCTGGAGTAAGGTCTTTCTGCCTTAGTTTTATCATCTGTAAAATAGGGGATTATTAGTGGTATCTCCTGCTTAGGTGTGGTGTAAGTTTTAAACAGTGAAACTCAATACCTAGGATATAAAAATTGTTCATCGTTATCAATAATACCAACTAACCTGGAGATAAAGAACATGAAAATTTGGTTATGGATGGAAGTCAACCAAAGCGTAAGAGAGAAACCCCTGAGAACGCTTCCCCCTCTGACAGCCACGTACAAGAGTCAAGTGGGAAAAGAAAATGCAGACGGTGGGCTTCGTTGTGTTTCTCCGTCGGGGTGGAAGGAAGCTTTGCAGGCTACTTAGCTTGTCTAGTAGCAGGAAACCAATTTCAAGTGTGCGTACTTGGATTTTTTTTTTTTAAAGCAGTGAAACAGACAGTATCCTGGGAAGACTGAGGCTACGTGCACACCTGCATGTCCCCCGGTTTACGCCTTTAGAGCCACAGAGAGGTCCCTGTTGTGCTAGTTCACTGGATCTGATGGTCTCTCCCTCTGCCCCACAGATAACTGTGTCCAGAGGACCCCCAGGCCGTCCGTGGAGAACGTGCACCACAACCCTCCCACCATTGAACTGTTGCACCGCCCCAGGTCGCCCATGACGACAAACCACCGGCCTTCTCCCGACCCCGAGCAGCGGCCCCTGCGGTCGCCCCTGGACAACATGATCCGCCGTCTCTCCCCGGCCGAGAGGGCCCAGGGGCCAAGGCTCCACCAGGAGAACAACCACCAGGAGTCCTACCCCTTGTCAGTGTCTCCCATGGAGAATAACCATTGCCCACCGTCCTCCGAGTCCCACCAGAAGCCATCCAGCCCCCGGCAGGAGAGCACACGGGTCATCCAGCTGATGCCCAGCCCCATCATGCACCCCTTGATCCTGAACCCCCGGCACTCCGTGGATTTCAAACAGTCCAGGCTCTCGGAGGACGGGCTGCATAGGGAAGGGAAGCCCATCAACCTCTCTCATCGGGAAGACCTGGCTTACATGAACCACATCATGGTCTCCGTGTCCCCTCCTGAGGAGCACGCCATGCCCATTGGGAGAATAGCAGGTGAGTGAGCGCGCCTTCCCTGTGCCCCCGTGCCCCTCCAGCATCAGGGGGGCCTGACAAAGCCGTGCTGTCCCCTTAGAGCCCGCAGCCAGCCCCACACCATTCCCAGTTAGGTGCTGCAAAGGCCCTGGGAGCGCAACTGGAGACTCCTGCCTGAATGAGGCAAAATCCCTATGGTCTGGTTAATGAGCCTACTAGGGTGGAGTGGTTAATGAGCCTCAGAAATGTGAAGAAACAAATGTCCTCTGTCCAGCTTACTAGGAGAGTCACATCAGAACCAAGGCAAAGCAGACACACTGAAAATAAAAGGTTTATGAGCATGCTAATGGCCCTGTCCTGAAGTTTCCAGCAGCTAATTAACAAGTAGACACAGCACAAAGGACCTCTGACTGTAATCTCACTCTACGGGCGGGACTCAGTGGAGCTTCACCTGGGTAGATAGAGAGGAAAACAGGACCACGAGGTCGCAGGCACGTGTTGCTGCATTATTTGGACAGAGGAAACCACTCCAGAGTTCTTTTGATGACGACAAGCCCAGCGATGCTTAGCCAACATGAGAAACCAGTGCCAGCCGGTGAAAACAATCTACACATTGCATTTTGCTGGTGTGTGCAGGTTTACCGGAGGGCATTCTGCAGAAGCCTAATCCTCTAACCATTTGGCGAGGTGACCGCTGTCTCCTCACAGGACGTTTGTTGAGCACCTGCGATGTTCCGGGAAGTGCTCTAAGAGTACAGGATACACAGTTCCTTACGGGTTCGAGAATTTAGTGGGTAAGACAGATGTGGAAGCCTCTGCGATTTAAAGCAGAATAAAATAAGCCCTCCGTCTCATCTGTTCAGGGTACACGCATTCGTTGAGCACCTACTGTGTGCCAGAATAATGTGGTGTGGAGGCAGGACACGAGGAAGGTGCATTTTGCCTGGAGGAACTGAAGGTGGCTTTCCTGGCAAGAGAGCTCAGCGCTCAGCGGTTTTGTTTTCAGTGGTGTAGGGAGGAGAGGACAGATCCGCCCAGGTGAAGCGGGACGTGCCCCTCCCTGCGTGAGGAGGTGCTCCAGCGGGGTGCCCCGGTGCTCACGATGGCAGGTGCTCCCACAGGCCTACCTCCCCTCTGCCCTGACTCACTGCCCCTAGATTTTTTCCTCTGGCCCCAAGTGCATGCACCTCCAATGTTGCTTGTTTTTGTAATAATTTACATGAGGGATGCATTTTTTTATTTTAAATTTTATTCACATAATGTGAACAGATTTCAGTATTTTTTATATATAGGTTCAAGAGCATAATGATACTTCCCACCTACCCTCCCTCCTTCCCTGTTCTTTTAATATTTGAAATGATGTACTCTGTTAGAGGGATGTGTTTAAGAAAATCCTTCTGACAGATTGTATGAGGGAATCTCAACAAGTTCATGGAAAAGTGGAATTGAAAGATGAATTTATGTGGATGCAAAAAAACAAAGCCTTCCATAGCTTTTTCATAATATACATTTTCCTTGAACTTTTTTTTTTTTAAAGATTTATTTAGTTGAAAGAGTTAGAGGAGAGTCAGAGAGAAGTCTTCCATCCGCTGGTTCACTCCCCAATTAGCCGCAACAGCCAGAGCTGTGCCTATCTGAAGCCAGCAGATTCCTCCTGGTCTCTCATGCGGGTGTAGGATCCCAAGCACTTGGGCCATCTTCTGCCTTCCCAGGCCACAGCAGAGAGCCAGATTGGAAGTGGAGCAGCCAGGACTCGAACTGGCGCCCTATGGGATGCCGGCACTGTAGGCAGTGGCCCCTCCTTGAACTTATAAAATATCCCTTGTGTGTTTGGGATTCAATTCAAAATGATCCCTCAGGGCTGAGGGAAAGGGCAGGATATACAATAGAATAAGGTTAAGTGAGCCAACTCATGGTTACATTGGGTGGGTGATGGATGCCTGAGGCTACATCATTGTCTCCACAAACATTAGACTTTTAAACATAAATTTTTAAAAAGAGGAAAAAGCAGCAAAGAACTTTTAGGCGTAACATGGGAATTTCTCCCAGATAATTGGAGAAAGATTTTGAGATCTGTGAATAATACAAATGACCTGTCTTATGCTTTCTAGGCAAGATGTTTTTCTTCTCCGTGTATCTTCTTGTCTTGTTGTATGCATGGCTTGCACAGTAGTTGAAACTCTGCAGATACTTATAATTCTCCAGACAGCCCTTAGAGGTAGCTTATCACTGCTGTATTTGTTTCATGTGGGAGAGCCATCTGTACAGGGGACCCATGAGAGGCTCGGGCCTTTGCCCGGGGCGGGGAGCGGCTAGGGGGTGGGGAGGGGCTGCAGGATGATCCCCGCTCGCCCTGGGCAGCTGTCTGTCATTCTGCCCTCCAAGAGCTTTGGCTTCTTCACCAGTCTGTGTCACCTCCTGCATGACACTGTCTTCACCCCAGACTTCTTGGGAATTTAAGAGCAGCCTGAAAATCAAGAATGATAGAGCTATTGTTACTTTCTTCAGTAAGTTTGTATGTTGTAAGATGTGAGTCTCTTAAAGTTATACCCCGTTTTTTTCAAGTCTTGCTCCCCAGCATCATCATTGTTAGAGGATAGCTGTGGGGCCACGAGAAAGTCCCACGGAATACTGAACCAACCATGTAAGGAGTCTATGGCTTCGCTCCCTGACAGCAGTGGGAACGCGAGGCCATGGAGTTGGTAGGTTCCCGAGAACAGCACTCGGCAGAGATCTTCTGGAGGGTAGGGGTTCTTCACGACTCTAATTGTTGCTGCTTTGCTGGTATATGACAGGTGTAGTTATGGACTTAACCCAGTCCATGGCTAATGGAACTGAGAGACACTGTTTCGCTCGAGGGGAAAATCAGAGTTGCTCTCAGAAGTTCTGTCCAGCTTTGCACGCCTACACTCTCACACTCTGGTTCTGTAACCCTCCGTTCTGAGTGTCTTTGTTTCTTGTGGAGTGCCTCTGCCCTGGAACGCCTTCAGATTCCTGCTAAGTAGCTGGTACCCGGAACAGCTTTGCTCTTTAAGGCACTGTGAGTGAGTACGGCACACAAAGCAAGGAGGGTGCTACAGAATGTCGCCCCACTGAGTTACCACTGCTGGAGGGTGCAGGAGGAAGCACTGCTCATGAATGTGGGCCAAGAAACAAAGCCGGAGTCTTACCATTCAGGTAAATGAGGAGTCTCCATGATGTTCATGGGCGATTAATATTACGGCAAAATTATGCATGGTTTTCAATTTTTTGAACTAAAGTAAACATGTTTTAATGCTGTTTTCCACAGGTTTTTCTGAAGATTTGAAAGGCAGAGTTACAGAGAGAAGGAGAGACAGAGAGAAATCTTCATCAGCTGTCTCCAAATGGCCACAACAACCTGGGCAGAGCCAGGCCGATTCCAGGAGCCTGGAACGCCATGCAGGTCTCCCATATGTGTGGCAGGGACCCAGGCACTTGGGCCATCTTCTGCTGCTTTCCTAGTCAAATCAGCCAGGGACCTGGATCAGAAGCAGAGCAGCTGGGACTTGAACTGGCACTCTCATTTGGGACACTGCAGTCACAAGCAGCGGCATAGCCCACTGTGCCATGATGCCAGCCCCATTGTCTGCAGATTTTTTGAAGTATCTGCCCTGGTTATCTGCTCAGACACACTAGGATTCAGGAACTCAAGCACCTTCTATGTTTAAGGCACTGTACTGCTTTCTTACAGGAGCGAGAGCAGGTACAAGAGGTCTGAGATAGTCCTTATGAAAGAACGTAGCACATTTAGCTACAAAAGTAGAACACATGATATGCATTTCACAGAGACTATTTGGTACCTTAGATCAGAGTAGGGCTGTCAGGGGAGGCTGCCTGGAGAGGCTGGCTTTTAGCTGAGCTCACAAGAGTGCTTAGCAGGTAGACTGGTAGAAATTAGAGACATGGAGGTGATTCCAGATGGATAAGACTTCCAAAAGCAAAGCAAGATCAGGCCTGGTATATTTCAAGAACGAATCTAGGTCAATTAAACACATCATTTTTCGTAATGTTTTTTAGTTTTTACTATCTCTGAAGTTGGGATGCACCCTACAGTTAACTGCAGGCCAAGTGAGGACAGAGTACTTAGGCATTTACTTTGTGGAAAAACAAAATAATCAATACAGGAAAGTCAGATTGTTGTCAAATTGTTGGTTGACAGTTAACTACAAAGCACAAATGAGATCTGAATATAGCATCCACTTCATTTGTAGAGGTGTGACTTACTTTTCCAAGGATAGGGAGGACTTGCAAAAAGATTCCAATGAGGCCGGCGCCGCAGCTCAATAAGCTAATCCTCCACCGCCAGATTCTGTCCCGGTTGCTCCTCTTCCAGTCCAGCTCTCTGCTGTGGCCCGGGAGGGCAGTGGAGGATGGCCCAAGTGCTTGGGCCCTGCACCCATGTGGGAGACCAGGAGGAAGCACCTGGCTCCTGGCTTTGGATCAGCACAGCGCGCTGGCCATAGTGGCCATTTGGGGGAGTGAACCAGCAGAAGGAAGACCTTTCTCCCTGTCTCTAACTCTGCCTGTCAAAAAAAAAAAAAAAAAAAAAATTCCAACGACTTGGAATGGCCTGCCTTTATGGGATGAACTTTAGCATGAAACAGAAATCTGAGTGGTGTGCGTAGAAATGAGCAAGTCGGATCTTTCTAGGTAGTATTTTCAGGAAAGGACACCTGCAAGGAGAGAAGTGTCTGTGTCTTTTAGAACTTCTTTTCTATCCACAGAAGTTTGAGCTGCGTTCCACCAATACGGCTTCTAGCCAGACAGCTTGGCTTTGAGCACCTCTCCGTGGATGAGGTGTCACTTCAGTGATGCCAGGAGTCCCTGATCCTGGAACCCCCGTTTCCAAATACGTTCGTGCCCTGCTTCTCTGTCCAAACCTTCTGCTAGCTTTCTGGACTATTCAGCTGCTTCTGAAGTTGATCCTGTTTTTAGAGGTCAAAGACCAGGGGCGAATGCCTGTGAACAGTGTAATGTCCCACCTGGGGTTCCAGTTATCT